ATTATCACTATTTTAACAAACTATAGCATTCACAAAATAGGGATAATTGAGCTTTTATTACCTTATTACTATTGTCTCATCCAAAATGTCCTCGAAAACTGTTTTTTATCTTTCAGATATCTTAAATTGTCGCTTTAATACGCCACAACCCCAACCAATTAATAATGAATGTTTTTTCTAAGCTTGATAACGGTTTTACATTATTGTTGGAGGATGCATTTAATCTTTTCTCCATGCATCACCCTTTATTTTCATTTTGTATTAACCTTCATTCAGTCTGCAGCATTTTACAGCATTAATATATAATTCATAGAACCTTTTTTGTTAGTTCTGGATAACTTTTGGAAAATGGGAAAAAAGTGTCCTACCGTCAGCATCGAAATGTTTCCAAATGTCGATGAACTGGGACGCGGTGACCTCGGCCAGGTGCAGGTGAGGAGGCTGCTGTGCTTTGTTTGCCATGATGCTTTCGACGGATGATGCTGCAGGTCAGACGCCAGAGAAAATCCGCAACTAACTTTTCTGTGTCTCTTGCTCAAACACACCCCAAACTGTGGCCCCAGTGCGCCGCCCGCCGCTTTTTAACCCCGGCGCAGGAGCTGCAACACTGCTGCTCCACCGCTAGGGGCGCAGCATCCATCTGAGTCAGCTTCTATTTCTCTCTCTCTCTCTCTCTCTCTCTCTCTCTCTTCCAAGCTTGATGTGGATGTGATAGGACGTTTGGGGCACTGCAGTGGACAGACTCGTGTGTGTGTGTGTGTGTGTGTGTGTGTGTGTGTGTGTGTGTGTGTGTGTGTGAAAAAAAGGGAGGGGAGAGAAATTGCAGATTGTTTAACTCTTGCACCATCATGCTTTACAGTAGATCCCACGTGTGTGTTTCAGTGGAAGTGCATGTGAATTCCATTATTTCTGCATGCTTGTACAATTATTGCCTGTGTTTCTGTGTGTGTGTTCCTCCCTACATCTGTGTGTGTATCTAAGCGTGCAGCTCCCCGAGCCTGTCTGCCAGTGTGTGAGGCTTCACAGACTTAATTAGAACTCACACACTAATCACATTTCCCACACTGCCTACAGCCAGCGGTGATTAGCCCACATAATAAATGTAAATTCTGAAAAAGAACTTTTTTTCATTAATGGCCATGCGGCACAGAGGGGTTAGGCAAAGCCACAGATTCTATTAGGAGAATGATGAATAAAGAAATACTCATATATGTCTTCATCTCATTTATTTCAAAAGACGATAATATTCAGGATGAAGCCATAAGATTGTAATGAGCCGGAGGGCAAGTATCCCTTGAGAGATAATCTTGCTGTTGATGGAATCTGTATAAAGGCATATTTTAAAACAAAAAGAAAATGAATTATATTTTTCAATTTACTCACAGGCCAAGACAAGGACAAATGGATGTGTCATTATTAATTAAAAAAACATCAGTTGCTAACAAGTGGCTAAAACTGCTTATCCTCATCACTAGCTTTTTACTTCTGGCAATTGCATTTACATTTTAAAAATCGTAACACTTTTTTTACATGTAGAGATTATCCTGCTGAACAAACAAGCAGATCCAACAAGCGCAAAGCAACTTTAGCATTCATTTTCTTTATATCATCTCCTGAGGAAAATGTCTCTAAATGCTTTTTCCTAAAGTTAAATGAGTAGAAAATGAATCACATTAACTAAGTAGCTGGCACCAGGAGGCAATATAAAGACTGAAATCAGGGGAAACACTCCAAAGCTTATGAAATAATATTACATACTTTATTTCCAAACAGAAACATTTGTATTACTATGTACTGTATGTAACTGTGCTTTCTTGGTTACTATCATTCTCCATTCTGTAATGCTCACACGTCCCCGCAAAACAGTACCAGGAAGCTATCAGTCTTGGGCTTTATCAGCAACTGTAACACAAATATGCTAGGCCTATGAATCATATCAATTACTGTATATTGCCAGTTGATTCTGTATGTCCAAAAATAACAATGTTGAATGGTTGCTTTTAAAATATATGATTTTCGACTGTTACATAAATTATTAACTGAAGCTAATGATTAAGATGATCCAGACCAAGCCAAGTTGTCACCCTCATGCATATGGATGCATTGTTGAACTTGAACTGTCACTTTTCCCCTAAATTGCAGAAGTCATTTTCCAGATCCGCTCTGCATGCTGGTCCAGTACAATGCTGACACACCGCTGGCACCCGACTCCTGTTGGAGGCAGTGTGTGAAAGTCAGAGGAGACATTCCCTTATTGATGCTATTTCGTACACTTGTAAAAAGTCACATTCACTAACAGTAGCTCTGCTATCTCACAGACTGTGTGAGATCAGGTAGCCTACATGACAGTGCATGCATAAGAACAGCTTGTGTGTGTCAGTGTTTAAGAGTGTAAACTCAGCAAAGCTGTCCCGCTCTATTTCCTCAGCTTCTCTTTGCACCCTATAATAATCAATAGCTGGCTCTGGCTCTCAGCCATGGCACGGCGACAATAGATAGATCAACATTACATTACAGATGAGGCCTGTCGCCAGCCTGAGGGGACTGCCGACTCAAACACACTTCATTTTCCTCTCTTTTTCTCTTTAGTCACTCCTATCGTCTGTCTTCATCTGTGTGTCTGCTCTATCACTTCCTTCCATTCAAAGCAGAGAGCCTGCTATTTGCATCCTACACGCATATCTTTGTAGACAACTCCATTTTCGGATTTGTGAGGCATCTGCGTTGATGTGTGCGACTACAAACCAGCCTAGTTAAGGTGTTGTGTTTGTGTTGTCGAGCTGCCTGGTTCATTTGTATTAATATTTCAGCTCCACATTGGGGCTGTACCTCTACAGGCTGTATGTAGATGAATTATGTAACAGAGAAAAAGCTGGGTACGGAACAGCCATTTCCACTCCATCTCAATCTCATAGCGTCTTCGTCTGTTTGAGGTGTGCTTAAAGTGAAGGATTGAGGGAGGGAAAAGAGAGTGAATGTGTCGGTGAGGTGTGTGTGAGTGTTTCTCTTTTATCTCCTTGCTTTTCGCACATATCACCCTCTTCACTGATCATCATTATCGCTGAGAGAAAACTCATTTTTTCCTTGAAAACATCCAAACTGATTGCTTCTGGGGACATAACCTCTCAGTTCACACTCCCTCTTTCACACACAAACACAAATATGAACTCATCCACAACAGAAAATACCAGCATCCAAGTGTCATTTGAACGTTTTTATTTGAAAGCACCAACAATTGGTATGAAAATAAATTATATTTTGTCAATAGACACATATTGGGTTCATCCTATTAGATTATAATCTGAACAGTATTATTCAACTGAACACAGTATACAGTGGTTATTTGGTCTAGTGAATACAGAATGCACAATTTGGAGTTGTGCCCATACAGTGAGCATGCTGGTGCATCTAAAAGATTAATTACCGGTATGTGACTTACGAGTTTCCCTATTTTATTGTGTATGGAGCAGATCCAGATTTTACATTTAGAATTCACTCTAAATGGAAATACCCCTTTAAGACTTCTCCCATTAGCATCTTGATGTGAAGACTAAAACAAATGGTCTAAGAGGGAGACTGCTGATGTAGGACTTTTCTGGCCTTTGCAGCACCAATGAATGAGACGGTCAAGGGGACCTGGCAGCAGGTTCCAGATCAGCGCAGGGGAGATTGAAAACTCCGTATTATAGCCCTCCCTGATATTACAGTACTGCGGTCTCTTGCTGTACAAATAAAACACATCCAAATGCAATCCACCCAAGAAAAGCCTTCATACATCACTACTGCTTAAGCAGATTAGCCATTACATTAGGTATTTCTTTCAGATAATAATTTTTCAGAAATTGATTCAGACAAAAATGTAATTTTATTTGTCACGTCATCATTTCTCATAATACATATATACATAATACATGATTTAAAATACATAATTTGTCTACTTAAAAAATAAACACCTTTGATATGATCCCAGTGTATATATATATTGACTTCTATAGCTAAAATAACTACGTATTGTACATTTTGTATAACAATCAATCACAAAATAAAGGAATCAGGTGCCAGTTAATACTATTTGTTCCCAATAATTATTCCATATTCTCTCTTATTAGCATTTTTGATCATGTGGATTAACTTCTCAGACAGTACTGGAGAAGTTTCTTCTATATGTGCATTGTGCACCAATAATTCAAGGGAAACGCATAGTGCAGTGTCTTAAGCTAGTACATGATGCATTGATAGGTGGTAGTTGCATACATTGCTCTCACTTAAGGCAAATACGACATACAGCAATTTGCTGATACAATAAATATGGAGGGTATCATTCTACTGACCTTAATTATAGACAATGACCCAGTTAAGATAAAACAAAAAAAACATTTTGTTGAGTCGTAGTTAAGAACATGATCATAAGAACGACTAACCATGTCACAATTATCCCAGCATTTCTCAAGGTTTTTATGTTTTGACTAGTAGTGAGCAGCATAAGCTCACCATACGTATGTATTATATTAATTATAATGTTTTGTGATTAAATATCAGCCATCAGAGAGGTTTCACTATGCTGCCAGTATAACCATAACAGGAAGTAACGTAAAAGTAAAACCCAAACAACCCTGCATCAATAATGCAGGATAGAAATACATACTGGTGGGGCCCACCGCAGTATTCCTTTTACATTTATTGATCCATGAACTGGGATATATGAGAACATGGTCGTTTTAAATAAGGGAATGCTATACTATAATCAGTAACCACCACAATAGTGGTTCAGTCAGACAAGTCACATGTTTCTTTAACATGTGTATTAGAAGCAGCATATAGTTGAGTTAGGTGACAGGTGGAAGCTGGGGTGGAAGCTGGGGTGGTGGTGGGGCAGGCAAGCAGCAGCGAGGTGGAAGTAGCTGCAGCAATAGCAGCAGCTAGCAATGCATGGAGAGGGAACTGGCAGGTTAAATAGGGCGGCATATTAAGGAGACTCTGTTTGGTTGGTTGTAGAGTGGCAACGGGGGTTATGTATGAATGCAGCATAAGTGCTCGAGTTGACTGGCTGAACTAGCTCGCAGGCTTCGCCCCATATTTGGAACACACAACAAAAGTCATTATGTCACCTCCAGGTTTTAGAGACACTCAGGAAATTACTTTATCCTAATCTGGTTTCCAGGTTTCATGATTTATGTTCCACTTATTGTTGAGCAACTCTACTTGAAACTATGATTTTTTTTCCACCCGTGGCTTAACTCAAACTATTTTCAAACATCGGTTCTTCACAGTTTGGATATCTTATTTCTGGTACATATATAGATGTATGGTAATCTCTCGCCTATTCTCATTATATTCCTCGGAGGGTATGGTAGTGCAAAACAAAACAAAAAACAAAACGTAAAAACATAGTAAAGCCAATCGTTGCTTTATGTTAAAACGTTTAGATTAACGGCTCATTGGCCAAGTTTTAGAAATGACAGCTTTGTAAATCAAAATTGAGTCTGCTGTCAGAAATATATTCTATAAGGCCTCCATGAATGTAATTCATGGGACAATATCCAGGGTTTTGAACATCTTGCACTGAGAGCAAAGTAGACACGTGTCAACATTCGGCAAATTCTGTGCACCTTTCAAGCTTTTACAATTGCCATTCTTCTTTTTACTCTGCTCTTAAAACCCTCTTCCTCACTCCCCCAGTTAACCACAACTTTAACCACTTAAGTACACTCACATTATGTCCCAGTTCATCATCTGCACCTTATTGTTACCCTTTATTCAAAGCTAAGATGAGTCACCGATTACTTAAAGGTACTAGAGGCTGAAGGGACTAGATTTTGGTGATGAGGTGGCTGACGAGCCTCTGGAGGTCCAGGGTTCTGCGCTCGGTGGTCTTCAGCACCTCCTCATGGTTAGCCCTCTCTGTGCTGTCATATTCTGTCACCACCTTATTGGTGATGAGGGACAGACCCAAGATGCGCAAGCCACAGTGACGCGCCACCAGCACCTCTGGCACCGTGCTCATACCTGCAGAGAGGAGAGCTCTGTTAGAGGTACACACTCACATTATAGTATATTATAGTATTAAATAGTATAGTATTGTATAGTATAGCATAGCATAGCGTTGCATAGCATAGCATATAATAGCATAGAATAGCATAGCATAACAAAGAATAACATAGTATAGTATAGTATGGTAAAGTATAGTATATCATCTCGTGTATTACCATAACGTAATGTAAAGTACAGTGTACTATAAAAGTACTGTATAGAATGTTTTAGAACAGTATACGGTATAGTATAGAACTGTATAGTTAAGTACTGTATATTATAGTATAGCTTAGCATAGAATAACATAGCATAGTATAGTAACGTAGAGTATATAACCTAG